TAATTTGACTAAAAATTATGGGTCTCCCTCATTGACATCAGTGTACTGTATTATTAAGTGTATTTGTTCTTACAGAGCCAAGTATGCCGGGGAATAAAAGAAAGAGTGTTCGGAGGGACAAAAGGCTCAGAGACACTTGGAACTGCTTCATTAGTTTTCTTCATAATAAAGGAGAATCTGCTTACTTCAGGGATCTGGAAGATTTGCGGACAGTCTACGATAAAGACTTTTCAGAAGCTTCTGGATTTGGCGTTATTGGGCCATGTATGTTGTTTTCACACAGTTAAAATGTTTTGCTATGTTTCACCTTTTCGTACGGTCTAAGTTGGACATCGCTATGTTAGGATTTAACCAACACAATGAGGCTAATTGAGTACACTAAATTAGTATATGATTTTTACTGTAGTACACATTATCAACATTTATATTAGATTATAATGTTAGAGAGGAGGATTGTGCTTTCCAGCCAGGCCTAGAAAAGAAATGTTTGTGCCACTCCGACCATGAAAATTATCATAATAAATTGCCTCCAGCACACCAAGTGTTATCTGTAAACTATATAACCCAGACAGTTTATTGTTGAGATTCTTCTTCCCCCCCCCCCCCCCCCCCAATTCTCCAAAGTGCCTTCGGGACATTCATGCTGCCTTCGACAGCCGGTCGCACACTTTTTCCAGCCTTGTTTCTAGCTTCTGGGGGGCTCACTATGAGTCACACTGTGGCTTTGAACTTTTGGTATGTTTGTCTTAACCATGAGAGGAAGATAATCTTAGCCATACCAAACCAACTTCTGCCCGGCATTTTGAATAATGTTTAATATAATATATTTGACTTATGAAACATTTATTTCTCATTTGTAGCTTTTAGATTTGAAAAGCTCATCAAAGATCTCAAGCGGTCAAGGAAGATTAGGATTGACAATGGAAAAATAATCAAAAACTCTGTTCCCTACCAACCCTTAACAGTTGATCAATATGTAAAAGAACGGGAAAGGAATCGCATAGACACAAGGAGGACTACACATGATCCAAATGCACTATACTGTACCTATTGTGATGTGTTTTGTAGTCAAGTCAACTTTAATTCCCATTTAAGAGGGGAGAATCATCGCTGTCAAGTGATCTTCAATTTCATGAGGAGCAAAAGGTATGTTGGTTACAGTTTGTTATTATTATTATTACATTGATTTGTTTACATTAATTTTTCATCTAACCAAAGGTGAGTGAGTCTTAGATCTGAGAAGATGAATAATGAGGGACGACTTGATGTCATTATGAGGCATGTGTGCACAGTGGTGGCGCCATGGGTGGGGGTGGGGAATCGTCGGATCAAAATTAATAAATTGCCTAGCCAAACATTATCTTGATTACCAATCCCTAATATGGTGGTCTCAAAGCACAAATTGAGCCACACTAAGCCATAAAAACTCTGTAAATGGTATTTTTTTCATTCTAGACTCTGACCGAGGCTCTAGTCAGCCCCCTGTAATCAAATTTAAATCTGTCGTTGCAGAAAGATTTTAACTAATCAGAAAGAAAATAACACATACACATGTCATCTACTGTAGGTAGAATGCTACACACACTTGTTTTTTGTATTTTTTCTCACAGTCAAATGTGGCAAAGACAAGCCAAACTAGTAACTTGTTGCAAAAATTGATTTTTGGTTATTAATATGGAGTTAAACAGTCAAATGAGAGCTATAAAATTGTAAAGGAATCATTTAAATCCGACATTTCATTATGAAGTTACAGGAGTTCAAACATACAGCTGTTTAAATAATAATATTTGAGAAATCAGCCTTCAAAGTTTAAGATTTTGGGCATTTTTCTGGTAGAAACCATTACCAAATCATTAAAAATTGTTGTTTTAACATTTTAAATGGAGAAAATACTGCATAGCATGATGTATAGATATAAAAAGGTTAGTTTAGTGTCATAAAATAAATTTCAAAGATTTTGACATTCAGCATGTTTTGGTCATTATTTCTGATACAGGATTTGCGACGAGTGACTGGTTTTCTTATCTTTACCACAAATACTGTAGGTGTTTGAATGAAAATAGTATGTGTTGCAATGCCTACTCAATCAAAATTTAGTTATCCAAAAATATAATATAATAAAATATAATAAAAATATATATATATAAATAAATATAAATATATATAAATGTATGTAATAGTTATAATGGAAAGATTAAAAAAATGAAAATGTATTACATTATATGTCATTTAGTAAAATGTGAGAGTAATTTTACTTTTTAAAAAATTATTTGTCAAAATAATCATTCAATATTTGGACCTCTACAAATAGAAAAAAACAAAGAAAGAATTTAAAAATGAATAATAATGATAATAATAATAATAATATTAATGATGATAATAAAATGATAATAGAAATAATAGTAATAATAATAATGATTATGATAATAATATTAATAATAATGATCATAATAATAATATTAATAGTAATGATGATAATAATATTATGATGATAATAATAATATTAATGATGATAATAAAATAATAATTTAAAAAAAAATAATAATAGTAATAAGATAATTTATTGTATTAAAGAGTCATTAAGAAAAATATGACATTAATTATGCTCTGTGTCTTATTATCATAATATAATGTGTGGACCACATTGCTTTTGTATCCTTTCTCTGCCCACTCAATAGAGCAAGTGGGCTATTAGCCCACATGATAGAGTGAGTGGGCTTATGCCATTATGTGTGAGGACAAAACATTTATTACCAGAGGCTTCATTTCTCACGATATCTGACTGTAATTTTTGTATATTAATGAGAAAGGTTGGCAAACTAAAAGTATGAAATGTTTTTGGGAAAGAGTAAAAATGCAAATAACTTTATGGAATTACTAAGTTTGCCAGTAAGATAAATATGTTTTGATATTGATGACAAAATGAATTTTTTTAGATGCAAATATAATTGAATAAAATTTGTTTTTGGGGCATTTTTTTAGACAAACTCTGCATGAAGACAAAAATGGCATCAAAGTGACTTCTGATCATGACGTTGACAATGACATTTTAGTTCCAAATATAAGCAAGGATGAACCTGTAACTATTAATATAACCGTTGAAAATGAAAGGTAAGATATTAAATATCTTATTAATATTTTAGAGTTCAAGGGCTGTGACTGTTTCTGAAAATGAATGACCGAGCTCTGATTGCAATTAGGTGATCATCACTAGAGATAAAAAGAAATTAGAAGCTATCGATTTGATGAGTTTCAGAAAAAAATGAATTACAGGTCTCTCGCCAGTTAAAGAAAACCTCTAATTAAAGACCATTTTTCTGTGGTTACCACACCATTTCATAAAGGCCTAGATGTAATATAATAATACAGATAAATAAGTAGCCAATAATTGTATGATTCATGTTCGGTATATGTTTGGTATAGTGTATGCTGTTCTAGACTTTGTTTCTTACAACGTTGTTGTTTTTTATGTTTAATTGTAACACACTTAAATAGATCCCTGTCTTTTGATTGGTGGATTTTTTATGGATACGATATGGCGATCAACCTAATACTTTTTACTCAGAAAATGGGTAGATTTTTGTTCAAAAAATGGCAAGAATCTATTTTAGGTTTTATGAAAGAATATTTTCATGAGTTGAAAGATTGTCTGTTCCATTTGACTCGGCGCCGCCTCGTCGAATGGAACAGTAATCTTTCAGCTCATGACAATATTCTTCTTATTGCGCTCATAAACATTGATTATTTGTATTATATTATATAGTAATAATATATCCAATTTTATGTTGCCTGGTATTCTAGCAATGAAAATAGTGTCACATTGCTACTTGGTGTGTTATTGATGGAAGGAACTCCATTCAGATTAAATGCAAGCTTAAGAGATATTCTCATTCCACCAAGTAAGTTATTTCTAAATTATTTTTCCATTTCTTCATCTGAAATCTAAAGTTGAAAATAAGAATATTTATCTTAAAGTTGGTCTTTGCGTGATTCGTCCTTACTTTTTCAAGTATAATACGCAAACACTGTAAAATTGATCTGAGAACAGTTGACATAGCATTTGTTAACGTAAAGTTAGGGGTATGATTTTTACTCAGGCCACTTCTAGCAAAAGCATTTTTATTCATCTCGTCTCTCATTACGTAGGTGGGTATTATGTAGGCTTAGATTCCCATCCAACAGTGTATTGCCGTAGCCAAATTACCAACAGACCACATTTTCCTGCAGTACAAGTTGTTGACAATGATGAATGAGAACAGGGATTTTCATGGACAGCTAATTTATCTAAAAATTCTTATAAAAATAGTTAGCACCTTTTTCATGAGTCTTAATTTGAGTGGCCGAGCGATTAGTCTACCTACAGCCTTAAGATTGGCGCTGGTTTGAGTCACTCCTCTCCCAGTGTTTGGTGGGTAGAACCAAGTCTTCTTGGATAAGGACTTAATATGGAGGTCCAGGGTACACATCTAGCATGTGTGCACTTTAAAAACTCATTGCATCATTCGAAAGTGTAGGGGCTTACACTGATTTTATGGTTAATTTCAGCCCCTGTTGCTGTGGAATGTTGTGAACATGAAGCTAATATAGGTACAAGTGTCCCTCCAATTAAAGACCCCTCTAATTAAGGACCACCTCCAATTAAGGACCACTTTCCTGTTGTCCCAAATCAACAAATGTCTTTTATCTTTATTATTCTAATATAGAGACTGCTAATAAATCCCTGGTCCCAAGAGTGGTCTTTAATTGGAGAGAGACCTGTACCTCTTTAAAGCTGTTCTGTAGTCACGGACCATACCCTTACATAATTCAGCACAATGACGCTGCAATTATGGGTTATTCTCCTACCGTTACACTCATCTTTTTTTAATACAATAACAATCTCAGAATTTACTGTTGTTCAAAAATTCAAAATATAATTTTTTTAGACCGCAAGATCAAGTTTTCAGTTGAATGCGAACCAAGGTTTGTAAACAATTACAGAAATGTCCTGGCACTTGCTTTTGCACTTCCAGACAGAACGGTAAGTCAAAAATTTGTTTTCACATCTGAATTTTAAAAGTAAGCTGAAGGTCATAAAAAAAATGGTCATTATAGTTTTTTGCTAAGCTGATAGATTTGTAAAGCACATTATGGTTTGGTTTACGCAATGATTCTCTTTTATAGAAACTTCTTTTTTTATAGAACTCTTTGCTGAATTCTATGTATTATATATGCATTGTATGTATTATTTCCAAAAAATTTGAGCAATTTTCCTATATTGGCAGTTTTTTCAAATTATTCGCAACATCGTTGTGGAGGTGGAGTCTGATCTGACGGAAGAACTGAAACCAACATCTCCCTACGTTAAACCACCAAGAGCAACTAGAAGAAAAAATGAGCATGTGGAGTACATAGATGGAGTTCCTTTACCTTAGTAAGACTTTTTTGTTTTGTGTCAATTTTGCTTGTCCTTTCCATTTCGAAAGGGCATGTTGCATAATTGTGACCCAAGCTCACAAAAAGGCTGTAAACTCGCACTGCACTGTATTGAGAAACAAGCCTCTATAGCCAGAATAGGCCGTAGAATGTGAATTTTGTGTGAATTGGGTTTTTGTGTAATAAATAAAGTATAAATATCATTCCTACTATTCTTGAAGTTTGAGTTTGAGGTAAAATTTAACCATTTTCAGATGGGAGCTAGTGAAAAATGAATAGAAAAACCTGCCGCAAATAAAAGCATTTTTCTCAAAACTTGATTTATGAAAGTTGATAAGATAACGATTATTCAAACGGTCTTAACTTTGCTTCCAGACACCCGATTGAGTTCATTTAACTGTCATTTTAAAGTAAATGATATGTTCTATGCCATTATTCAAAAACTCATTTTGGCCTGAGGATGAGTTTACAGCTCTTTTGTGAGTTTGAGTCAAAATTTATATAGGAAAGAGATATTTTTGATCTAAAACACACACTTATGATTTTCCCTGTTGGGTCTTCAGATACGGCGTCAGGATTTTCCCGACGAGAGGTCCAGCTCCCTGACTAGTGGAGCCA